GCTTCAGTGCCTGCCAAGGGACAGAGAATGTGACCCAGGAGAAATGAAAATGTTCTTAGAAATTGTCAGTACACAGCACAAAGCGTTGGATTCTGACTCTGACGATGTCAGAAGTTCAAACCGATGTGAAACGCAGTTCACATGGGTCACTGACACTATTTAATGATGCACATGGTAATATGATTCAATATGATAAATACACTGCTAAAAGTAGACAGATTTCCTACCTTTGCATCTAAAGCTAAAAGTTAATGGTCGCAGAACATCTGAAGTTGTGTTGTTTCATGAAAACAAGGATCTCTAGAGAATGCAAAGAGAGAGGATTCCAAATCTGGAGTTGGCTCAAGAAGTAATTACACAAATAACTTCAAAGTCAAAGCACCACCGTGTAATTCATTTCATCTCCCGGGGAGAAGCAAGTAGCAACTTACCAAAAACCTTCAACAGAGACACTGCCTGTTAGGGAAGGCTTTTTTTAATTAGGAGAATAACGAAGATTCAAACACTAAAGGGAAGAAAATAAAATCCTTTGTTTCAGAAAAGACTTAAGGCAATGACCATGACACAGCCCAAATGGCTGAGACAAGGAAGAAGGGATTTGGTTAAACTGCAAACCAAAGTGTCTGTTTGCAATAAATCGAATGCAAATCCAAGTAAACAGCAGAATAAATTATGACAGATCTGTGGAATAGGAAGCAACAGGCTATGTTGTGTTGCATAGACACAAATAAGTGGGACAGTGAACTAGAGACCATCACTAACTTAAATAGTGATTTTAACAACAATGACAATAATAATAACACAGTTAGAACCAGAAGGGAGAATAAAAACAGGCAGCACCCTGCAAAATCTGCCACCTGAGGAAAGCAGAAGTCAGACTGACCTTCAGTGTGTAAAGACACAAACAAGGCAGACTGACAACAAAAGGATCTGGATAATGAACAGATACCTCAGATCCTGTTTTCCCATTTATTGAGTAGTTCCTATTTAGCCACTTCTAACAAAGGTTACAGGAGCATTCAGCCAAGCTAAACATGGCAAAATTGAATTAACCTCCTGTTACTGAGGTCAAAAGCTTTCAAAAAGAAGAGAGATAAAAAGAGAGACTTGGCATTCACAGGAGTAATAAAAATCCCCAAACGACTTCAAGAAAACTTTTAAAAGCTCTCCCTTGAAGATGAACCACAGGCAACAGTGAACAAACATCAGGAGAGCACTAGACTCTGAGGATCCTGCTGTGTTCAGGAGTGGTGTGAATCCCACACTCACATCGTGTAAATCACTTCAGATTTTTCAGGTTTTATATATTAAGTGCATTTTTCTTGGCTCAGGTGAAACAATTGTGGTTTCTTTCCCTGTGTCACCTCAGCTCTCAGTCACACAGATGTGCCCACGCTGATGGTGTGTGTGGGAAGAGGAGAAAACCATCATTCATTAGATGCCTCTTTATATTCTGTGAAAGCTTTGCACTTCTGTTCTCTGTTATAAACATTTGGGCGTTTCTTTAACAAATTGAAACTTATATTGAGTCCTGTGATAATCACAGAGTAACTCTGGTGGGAAAGGACCTTGGGAGGTCTCCAGCCCAACCACCTGCTCAGCCAGGGGCACAGTGGCCTCCAGTAGCTCAGAGCTCTGGTCAGGTGGGTCTGGAAACCTCCAAGGATGGAGGAGGCACAACCTCTCTGGGCCCTGATCCACTCACTGCTGGACTACTCCTATGGGGGAAAGCTTTTCCTTATGTCCTATCTCAGATGGTCTCTCTATCAACTCAATCCCCCCCTCAGCACATTTCTCTCTCAGTGGGTCCCTCCCTCAGCATTTAAGTCCTCAGGATTTAATGGATGTGTGGATATGGCACTTGGGGACATGGTTAGTGGTGGCCTTGGCAGTGCTGGGGGAACGGTTGGACTCGATGGTCTCTAAGGGCTTTTCCAATCCAAATGATTCTGAGATTTCACTAGTTCCTTCCAGTTCCCACCAGTCAGGGCTTCTAGCACTGTGAATTCCAATGGCACTGGGATGGCTGCTCAAGCTGGGCAAGGATGAGATGAGGTCAGTGGATTGGAGGGGATCAGAGGAAAGGATCAAAGCAGTTCCTGCTTTTTCCAGGGACAGGTGAGAAACTTCCCACCTTTCTGGGTCTGGATTCTACATTTCAGAGTCTCAGTGTAGCTTTTCCTACCAGCACACACTCCGTGTACCCAAAGGGGATTGTCCCCATGACTGCTCTGTCTCTCCAGTGGGATGAGCACTGATACATCTCTGCCAGTTTAGATTCAGACTCTGCAAACCTCCAACCAGGATTTTTCCAAAGGATTGTGAGGGATCCAGCCATCTGCTGACCTACTACACCATGTGGGGATGGCACACTGGTGTACTTATTATTCAGCTGCATTTTTCAGGTTTAACTCTGGTGTGTTTATGAACTAAATCCTGATCCTTATTTCTTGAATAAGTTGACACGTATTGTCAGTGGCAGTGTGAAGTTCCAGGGTTAAAGGCTCTCCCTCAGAAATCCACTCCCTCTTCCCTCCAGGAATGTTTTAATTACTGAGTGCTTAAGAGAGGAGGGCTGAACCCAGCCAGCTGCCTCCTCCAGTGCTCCCGAGCTGTAATCTGGGTCACAGACAGAATTAAGGATATGAAAGCTTCCTTTAATTCTCCTTTCACTCAGTACCTTGTGTTTTTCCTACTGCTCTATTTCCTGGACTGCTGCCTCCTTCCTGCTATCTGTATCTGTTCTTTTGATCTACTTTTAATCACTTTTCCTGACATCAGTGGCAGCCGCAGTTAGGAAGAGGTGGAAGATGTGATAAATTGGTCATAATGGCAGAGGGTGCAACCAGGTGAGCTTCAAGGTCCCTTCCAACCCGAACCAGTCTGGGATTCCAAGAGGAGCTGCTGAGCACTGGAGGGGAATGAGGTTTGTAACAAACCCTGAGCCTGTTTCATGCAATCACAGAGTCATGGGAGTTTGGGTTGGAAGGACCTTTGAGCTCATCTTGCTCCACCCCTGCCATGGGCAGGGACACCTCCCACCAGCCCAGGTTGCTCCAAGCCCCATCCAACCTGGCCTGGAACATTCCCAGGGATGGGGCAGCCACAGCTGCTCTGGGCAACCTGTGCCAGTTTGATCACTCCCTTACAGGGAAAAGCCTTTGTGTATGTTGGAGGGAATGTTTGCCAGCCAGGCTAAATGAGCGCTGAAGAGGGGAAAGCAAAGAGTATAATTAATATCCTGCTGATTTAGTGGGAAGCAATCTTTTGAGGATTGAAATGAACGTGGAAGCTGGGCTCTGAACTTCAGAGGAAATCTGGCTGCAGTGACAACACAACTCACTCCTTCCCTGCAGCTGTCAGCAGCAGGCTCCATCCCAGCAACACTGAGCTTCTGCTGGGAAACAGCCACGTGGGAACAGGCAGAAGATTCCTGAAAGCTGGCGTCTCATTTGACACCAACTCAACTCCCTCTGGCTGGAAACAAAGCTTCAGTTTATGCAGGTACATTCTCCTCCCCTTTACTACTCTTCTCAATCACAAGCCCTAATTAGATCCTTCTCTCTTGCTGCAGATCCTTTCCCAAGTCCATGGCCACCTCTGGAATGCCATGCTGAGTGCTGCTTCTCAGCTGGAAAAACTCAGGAAATCAGGATGGGCTGGAAAGGGTAAATCCTATGGGACACATCATGATTTCATCTGCTGTGACAACCTTCTGCAATCCCTGGACTTGCACCTCCCCTACACTTGATCCATAACTCCTCACAGATATTTACTTTTCTAAGGAGTAAATCCAACCCTGATAGAGCATTTCCTTTCTAAGGACCATGGGAAACTGAGCAATGCAGTTGGGTAAACACCTGTGAATCAGACACTTGGGGGACTAATTCATCCTGAATTTTTTATCGGGAGGAGCAAATCATTTGAAGCACAAACACTTCCCATTCCATGCTGTGCACACAGAGAACATGAACCACAACAGTCATTCCCAAGTATGGAAAACAGTCAGACTTCCTCTGTCCCTCACAACACTCAGAGGAGACACAACTCAGAGGCAGTGTGTCCTCCTTCCCTCCATACAGAGATGCTGCACCCATTGAATACCTAGGAGGGGAATTGCTCCTAAGTCAGTGGATTGAACTCTTTTCCCTCAGGAACTGCCATTTCCCATATCAGACCTCAGATAGCTATGGACACTCATCAAAGGATCAGGGGAAAGGAAATCACTTCTTCTATCCTTCCTCCAAAATAATAATTCAAATACTCCAATGGTTATTTAGGGCAAAACCAAAGGAACTCAGCAGCAGAGTATTTTGATCCCCTGTAGCAGGGAGAGCAGCTGTAGCCAAGCCCTGCTCACAGCCAGGCAGGAACTCCTTGATTACATCCCTGCAGAGTGCAGGTTCACCGAGAGATGATTTACTGGAGAAATAAGTGTCCTGCAGGTCCCTAAAGAAGGTTCCAAGACCACTCACCTGCTTGAGTGCCTTCTTGCTGTGCTTCTGGGAGGAGGAGATAACTTTTCCAGCCTGGATGGACGGTGAGGGGCAGCTGGACTGTGGGGAGGATGTCTGGGACAGGCGAGATGACACTACAAGAGAAAAAAAAAAAAATACACATCATCCAACCTCTCTGCCTTTTCCTACCCTGTCAGAGCATCTCAGAGGCTCCTGAGAACAGCACCTCCAGCAAATGTGTCTGTTTCCATGAAGGATCAGTTCTGTATCCTCCTCCCCACCAAGGCAACTGTTCCTCTAGAAGCCAACAGCAAATCCCATGACCAACTTCAGATGTTTCGTCTCTTGTCCAACTCTTTCGTAGTAATCCTGCAAATAGCTGCTCTCAAACCCCACTGCAGCATGAGGAAAAGCTGCAGGTTCAACCAATTCCAAACTGGAAGTACAGACAGGGGATGGTTGTCTTCCTCTGGAACCACCTGTGGTTGGATCCCTCACTGACAGCAGTTCCTGATTGGAGCAAATCTGAATCCCACACAAGAGTGAGAAGAGACATGGGACGCAAAGGAAGTGGAGCTTGGTTATCACGTGCTCCTTTCTAAAAAGAAATAGGGGAATATACAGGATATCCCAGTAAATGAAGGTGTATTCCCAGTGGATGTGTCTAGATGCTTAAAGAAGCCTAGTCGAAGCCAGATGATTCCTAGAGTGAGGCTTCCCATTCCAGGTGATTTCTTTTTTAACAGCCTCGTTACAACCAACAGATTGGGGATGGGAATTGAATCACACCTGCTCCTGTGGCTCAAATGAACCTGTTTGGCACAGGATCCCCAAACCCCTGGCTCTGGCAGCTGTGGGGGGATGCAGACACGGCCAGCCAGGGAATGATTCGGTCCCAGACCCCTGGAATCAGGGATGTGCCTCTGTCTTCTTGGCAGGACACACTGCCCTGGGCAGCAGCTGAGGGTATCACACCACCTGTCCCTGAGGAAGAGCCAGGGAATGAGCACAGCAGGGAACAAAGTGATTCTGCTGCTGAGACTTGAATAGTGCAACAAATCAATGTGTGGAGGCAGCCAGTTCATCCTGGAATGGTCTGAGGGGGAAAGGACCTTAAAGCTCATCCAGTTCCTCCCCATGCCATGGGCAGGGACACCTCCCACCAGCCCAGGTGGATCCAAGCCCTGGCCTGGAACACTCCCAGGGATGGAGCAGCCACAGCTGCTCTGGGCAACCTGTGCCAGTGCCTCACCACCCTCACAACCAGGAATTCCTATCCATCTCTCCCTGCCCTCTGGCAATGGGAAGCCATTCCCTGTGTCCTGTCCCTCCAGGCCCTTGTCCAGAGTTTCTCTGCAGCTCTCTTGGAGCCCCTTGAGGCACTGGAAGGGGCTCTGAGGTCTCCCCACAGTCTTCTCTTAAAAGGAAAAAACACTGAGTCAGCAAACTCAGTCTGTGTGTTATCTCTGCCTGTGAATTTGAGAGAGAACAACCACCACTGTGAGATGAAGGAAACCAAACCAAGAGTAAAAGGATGCTTGTTTTTTTTGGGGGGAGGTAGGGGTGACCCCTGCCATAAAGGAGAATAAACCGATTCACATGTAAACCAATTAAATTAGCACTTCCTGAAGGAATTTGTTCTAGAACACACCAGAACAAGGCAGTAAAGAAGCTAAGAGACTATAACACAGCTCTTTGTTAATGACAGCCAGAGGGATCCTGCTCAGGATCCACAGGGAAGGGAAGCTCCCAAGAACAACACAGTGGCAGTAAACATCAGAAAGCAACATTTCAGTAAAATGCACAGAATTAGTAACAATGAATTATAAAAAGCAAAACTCTCAGATGTTGTGTGGATTAACTGAAAGGAACATGTTTGCAACAGGCACACGCAGCAGGGAAGAGGCAATTCCAGCCTCTGAAATGCCATTAAATGCAGCAACAACTAAAGGGTTTGGCAAAGAAATGGGTCATCCAACAGTCACTGACAGGAATCCCATGCCCAGGTGACACATGCACCTTGTCCTGTCACTCCTGTGTCACACAGAAAGCAGAATTACCACTTAAAAGACAAAAAATAAGCCCAACCCCTGATGTTATCCCAAGAGTTGACAGGCAGAGGTTGTGTCTGTGCTAGGAAGCAGCAGCAGGAAGGTTTGTAATTGGCATCTGCCTCAGTTTGGGTGAAAGTGGAGATCAACAAGAAGATGCTGGAGAAGATCAGTCTGCTCAGCACCTGGAGTGGCAAAGCAGATCCCAAACTCACTGGGATTCTCTGAACACATGGATGAAGAGAACCAGGAGCAAAGCTAATCTGTTGCTAAGAGAGCTCACTCACACTTCCAGAGAATTTCAACAAAAGGCTTCCAAAAATTGTTTAGCTATTGTTTAAAAGACAAAGAATTGGCATAACTGATGCTGGATGGGACAGAAGGCAAAGAATGGAATAATGTGGTAATCAGGCAAGAAATGGGCAAAGATCCTGCAGGATCATGTGCCAGTAGGGAGCAGTTGGAGGTTGGGATAGGCTGGAAGGCAGGAAAAAAGAAAATGTAAAGATTGAGAGAGAAAGACTGAGGGAACTGTGGGAATACAGAGATAAAGAACGGAGAGAACAAAAGAAAAATATAGAGTAAAACATCAAAAAAGGAGAAATACATTCCTGGAGGAAACGCCCAAGATCCGAATGTCACTGAGCTGTGTCACGTCAGGAGGGACCATTTCCACTGGCAGATGAGTGAGAATGGCAGGTGAGATCACTTTGGAGAAGCCCTCCAAGACCATTAAGTCCAACCTGTGACCCATCACCACCTTGTCAACTAGACCAGAGCACTGAGTGCCATGTCCAGTGGTTCCCTGAACACCTCCAGGGATGGTGACTTCACCACCTCCCTGGGCAGCACATTCCAAAGCTTGAGCGGTGCTGCTGAAGGGAAAGAAAGCCCCTTCCCTGACAATTTCCATGCAGAAATTCCTTATGATGTCCAACCTGAACCTCTCCTGGCACAGCTTAAGGCTGTTTCCTCTTGTCCTGTCCCTTGTTCTCTGGGCAAACACCGCATCCCTGTCCCTGGAACACAGATCCTTGCTCCTGTCCTGCCAGTTCTTGCTCAGAGTCGTTAAACACAAGAAACCCACAAGTGCTTTAACATGTCAAAGGCAGGTGCAGACACACATGGACTGTTGGTGGGCTGGAGTCATCTGACAGCAGAACACAAACCACATCCTCTCTGGAGCCAGCACTGCCGAGAGGGCAAGTTCTGTGTGAAACAAACTCTGAGCCAAATCCTGCCTCAGACTCTGCCCACATTTCAGCTTTTATGCTGTCTCTGAACAGAGAAGACCAATTGTTGCCCTAAGAGGTTGTGAGATACACAGAGACCATGAATCTGCTGACTTAGGGGTTTTACTTTTTAACAGAAGGTTCCAGGGAGTCCTCAGAGCCCCTTCCAGTGACCAAAGGGGCTCCAAGAGAGCTGCAGAGGGACTTGGGACAAGGGATGGAGGGACAGGACACAGGGAATGGCTTCCCACTGCCAAAGGGCAGGGAGAGATGGGATATTAGGAAGGAGTTCTTCCCTGTGAGGGTGGTAAGGCACTGGCACAGGTTGCCCAGAGCAGCTGTGGCTGCTCCAGCCCTGGAAGAGTTCAAGGCCAGGTTGTGTGGGGCTTGGAGCCACGTGGGCTGGTGGAAGGTGACCCTGCCCATGGCAGGGGGTAGAACATGACTAGCTTTAAGGTCCCTTCCCTGCAGAGGGACTTTGGACAAGGGCTTGGAGTGACAGGACTCGGGGAGTGACTTCCCACTGCCAGAGGGCAACTAAATACATACATCCGCTGCCAGTAGAGCCCCAAAGCTGGGGATGCTGCACACCTGGCCCAAGTGTCCCTGTGCTGGCTGGTTCCTACAGGAGGTTCCATGCTTCCTGCTGTTGGGCTGATGGGAGAGGAGCTGCCAAGGTGAAATGGAACAGTTCTCTGAGATTAAAGCAGAGGGGCTGGAGTTGAATATGTATCAGCCAAGCCTCATGATCCAGGATTTGTTAGATAAGCCAAGGATGGATCCAACACAGCCCCAGCTGCAAGGATAAATGCTGGAGACAGATCCATGTACAGGCAGCTGCAGCTGGGAGGTGTGGGACAGAATCCTCCACATTTCACACTTCTTCCTTGCAATGCCACTGACACGGGAGCATTTCTTCTAAGATATGGAATGATACCTTATGAAATGATAACTTATGAAGTGGTAACTGCCCTCATTAAAGGCCAGTTAAATCAGGAATGTCACTCTGACAAGCTCTGCTGACATTTCACAGGGTGCTGGGTTCCCCTGAGACTTGCAAACTCCAAAACTTGCTCAATCAATTCTCTCATATACACTTATAAAGACACTGTGCTCACAGCAGCAACAAGTGGTAAGATTTATTTAACAGTCATTGATTGAGGAAGATGAGGAGTTAATTCATTAAGAAAGGCTGCAGTAAATTGTTGCAAAGAGTAAACGCAGGATATACAAAGGATTCCTTGGATCTGACAGGAGGTTGGACCCAGGTAGGGATTGGGCTCTGCTCCCAGGGAACAAGGGACAGGACAATCAGAAACAGCCTCAAGCTGCACCAGGGGAGGTTCAGGTTGGATATTGAGAAAAATTTCTTCCTGGAAAGGACTCTCCAGCCCTGTCACAGGCCGCTCAGGAGAGGGGTGGAGTAACCATCCCTGGAGGTGATATCCAAAGGCAATGGTGGAAGGAACACCACAGTCTCCTGACACCTTGGCATGTGGATCCCATCACAGCCTCTCCTGTCATCACTCAGCACACGACTTATCTGCTGAAACTGTGTAAATTCTGGTTTAACAGCATATAATGCACTTCCTACAAATCCTGGCACCATCCCAAAGTGAGGTCTCTGACTAATTCCTGATCACTTGAATATTTCTGGTGGGCTGAGAGATGAATCTTGTATCAGACCCAACCAAAAAATCACATCATCTTAATTTCACAGAATCCCAGACTGATTTGGGTGGGAAGGGACCTCAAAACCCATCCAGTTCCAACCCCTGCCCTGGACAGGGACATCTTCAACTAGCCCCTGTTGCTCCAAGCCCTGTCCAACGCGGCCTAGAACACTTCCAG